GGATCTATTATAATACCAACCCCGTCGATTAAACTGCCCAACTAGGATATATTTGCAACATTGAAATAGGCACAGGTTAAAACAGGGATAAATAAAGCGTTACATAACAGGAAGATATATGACAACATCAATTAGCTTTAGCTTGTTTGCTAGCTGCAGTCTTACCGACAAACCTGGGCTATCCTGCCATCAGTATGAGGAAAACAGCTGGAGATCTGTACGAAGAATACTAGAATTCAATTGTTATAGGCTCCGACACGTTGCTTTATCGTTTCCGAAGAGACAAATATCCTTAAGATGCAGAAAAGACCATGGGATTTGTGTTTCTTTAGGGCAGAGCGGTTGCAGAGCGATAGTCCCGGTGCTAGAGCGTAGTAGGGCGGGTGGACTCTGTGGTGCCTTTACTGCTTCAGGAAATAGGAAAACTTTTCAGTAAACATGTCATTTCAGCAAGAATTTTGCGTCAGTAAGCACATATTGATCACAAACACAAGAAAATATGGAGAAATATATCAATACATAATTCTGCTCTTTAGTTTTAGTAATAATGACGCAATAAGAACAGCAATGTATTTCTATCTATCACGTAAAGTGTTTTGAAATTATATTTTAAGAGTATACTACGTTTCAAACTTGCATTAATCATAACATTTACTCATATTTATTATAACCCATACTGATCCTGACTGTGTCCATTTGGTTTACTATTGTATGTTACATAGTCAAAAGTTTATTTTTACTACTTTCTTGAACTTATCAGAATTACGGCGCATGTTGATTGTTTTTACTACACCATGTGAGGGGGACATGGTGTTCTTTGTTAAAGTCTCCCAACCGGACATCCCTGTCGCTTAAAAGTATATGTTAAAAGATAATTAATCACAGAAATTAATCATATAAATGTATTGTGTATGATGTGGTAACAAATTAAACCTTGGCAACAAAATCATCATGTACAGTTTTACTCTTTAATACACTGAATCACATTCCCTATATCGAATAGATGTACATTCAACCCTAAAAAAACTAACTTGATGAAGGGAATTAGATCTTTAACTTCTTCAATTTTATGTTAATATTGTGTAGTACACAGGTTTGCCAGCAGACGTCGTCATTTACAAGTAATTCCATAGTTATTCCTTGCTAAATATAACCTTCTGTATTTTTGCTGGCGATGAAAAGTTTTAGTAGACTTGAATCCAAACATTACACTGTTCACTCGTGTAACAGTTTTTTACTTATGCATTTTGGTCTCAATATATAGCATATGTGTAAGAATAAAAGTGTGTAAGAATGTGCTTGGGCCAATATCTCAGGGATCAAAGTACAGGAATGTTGATGAGCAAACTCTACCCTGACTTAATCTGCTTTCATTTTCTTATAAGTAAGGCACGCGTTTGGGACGTCCCCGTGAGAACTCCTAAATCAATTATTCACTATAGCTGCAGGTGATGAAATATGCAAAAACAAAATATACAATAAATACGCTATATTTTCATCTGTTTTACATGCAGTTCAAATAACCCTAAACAACAGAAGTATATTCAATAAGCAACAGACGCACTTCAAAATTGGGATTCATTTAAAGATTCTGATTATTCAATATTCAAACCTGAAGAGGCATCGATTTTTAATAATTTACTATATGAATAATCTTATTTTCTTTATTAGGCATAGTGTTTTGTAGACTGTATGTTTTTGTCATCATGCTGTTTTTTTCTTCAGAATATATGGCTATACATAATAAACGTGTTCTAAATTTGCCCCTTATAAGTGATCAACATATGTCATGTTTTTTTTTGTTTTGTTGTTCAGACCACTCTGTATGATGCAATTTTCACACTATGCTATACAACCTGCAGGACGTCAATGGCTGTGAATTCCCTCAGGCAGGTACTGAAAGCGAAATCAAAGGAGGCGCCAAAGATGCTATATTAACGTCTTGAGGAATTGCAATGGCCAGCAAACAATTACCAGGATACAGAGCAATTACAACTGCAGATTTGTTTTTATTTTTTAAAAGCTGCCACCTAAACTGAGAAATTCAACAAAATGCTGAACAAGGTCATTTTAGTGTGCGCCCTTTTCACCGCTGCAGGCTCCTCCCTGACCTGCAGATGGATGGACAACCATTTTAAACAATACATCGACAGCTCATTGGATCTGCTGAAAACAATGGTAAGTTTATTATAAGCCATTGGCAAACATTCAATCACCTAAACATGCTTATTGAGAACTGTGTATTTTTTAATCTATAGAAAAACGACTCCTTAAACTCCACTGATGTTGAATTGGATGATGCTGCGGCCTTCCCGAATGAGTTGTACAGACACGCGTCCAGAGAGTCGGTAAGTGCATGGATAATCACTTTCTACACCAGACCTGTCAAACTCAGGCCTGTGGGCAAAATCCGGCATTTTTAGTGGCCCCTGATATGATTTTCAATTATCATGATCACAGAAACTTGCAGCATGGATGGTAATGGGATACTATGGCATGTTATACTTCATTTTAAAGCTTATTTTCTCAGGAGAACAGCCATATAATTGAATATGTTCTAAAACGTTAGCTAACATGTAATCAGAAGCTATAGTTTATAGTTTAATTTGTTGGGGTTTTTTCAGCCTTCCATCTCTTCTTCGTTGAATACATGCAAACCTATAAGGACATAATTTCAAATACAGTTGATATAAGAAAAAAGGAAAACAAAAAAACAAAAAGGAAAGAGATAAAAATAAATTAAAAATAACTTTGTGCCACTTTTATGCATGGCCCCCAACCATGCATCTCTAATATTTTTATATTCGGCCCCCGACCACTATGAGTTTGATACATCTGTTCTACACAATCAACCCTTGAATGGCGTAACTAATTCATGTTTTTGTGGTGTCTTTTAGCGGAGAGAACGACTCAGTTTCGCGGCGCACGTCTTGAATGAGATTTACGCGCTCTTTGAGGAGGACCAGACACACGCGCCTTGGAGTGCGCGCGTCGTGGAGGACTTCAGAGACATCATTGAGCAACAGGCAAATGGTGTGGGCTCATGTGTAAGTGGCATCTCCTCCAAAACATCTGCACCTTCAATGATACGTGCGCTCTGTTGACAATTTGTGTGTTTTTGTTTTGCTCAGGTTCAGATTGGAAAGCACACTCACCACAGGAAAAATCACAGAAAGATGACCATGTATTTTAAGAAACTTTCGCGACACGTCTTGGCTCATATGGTAAGGTTTTATGGTCAAAATTAATCATAAACAAATCACCTGTTGCATGTTGGAGACTAAACTCACGTGTTCTTCTTTCCACAGAGACACAGCGCTGACGCCTGGGAGCTGGTCCGAGCAGAAGTCCGTCTGCACCTCCACAGAGTCTACCTTCTGGCTACCTCTTAAAAACACCATTACCTACCACTGCATATTTATTTAAGTTATTACATATGGGATATTTATTTAATATGGATTATTTATGTATTTATATATTTATTTTGTAATGTATTTATTCACGAAGAGTGTTTTGTACATTTTATGATGACGGTATTTTTATTGCACTTGAAAAATAAAATGTGACATTTTGTACAGAATTTTGACACGTTTGATTTTGTGTTCAGATATACATGAATTAATATACCTGAAGGCTCAATATCCTATTGATATTGTCACCGTTTTGGGAATTATGTTTTTAAGCCAATTGACTCTAAATATTAAGCCAAACATATAATCAACCCTAAAACAGGGTTGGGAAAAACGGAAGAGCATTGTTGTCACTCAAAAATCAAACAAAAATTGTTGTAAAAACAAAAAAGAGATAGTATCTCATTATGAAATACTATCTCATAATTATGAGATATTTTTATTATTATTTAAATTTGTTTTTTAGAACAATAGAATACTGAATGACCTGGATAAAAACATCTGTGTTTTTAATCTCATAATTATGAGATCATTTTATTATTGTTATTATTATTATTTTTTACATGTATTCTTTGTTAACAAAAGTTAAAGTTAACAAATTAAACAACAACGGTGTCTTAATGAGACAGAACCTTTGACCATTGCAATTGTCCTGATTTAATGATAAATAAAATACATTTTATAACGTTTATGAAGTTAATAATAATCTTCAGAAGCGTTTTGCCAATTATTCTCCAAACTGTCTCAAAGTTGTGTCATGGCTCCCATTTTAACACTTCTCCAATAATGTGTGAGACTATCTTATCTGCAAGCTGAACATATGTATATACTTTATATTTACCTTTGCTGTGATGGAAATAGTTTCACAGTTCTTTGACCGCGTTGTGGACAATAATAAAATGTCACTGAGCGCTTTCCACTTCAGAGGAACCAGGCCTCAGTGCGCGGCGTCGGCCATGTGCGTCTTTACGCTCAACCACTTTCACTTTCATCCCTCTGCAACTATGTATGAATATATCAGAACAAATGATCAATCAGGTAAATAAACACATCTCTAAGAAAATGCATTGAAACTTAAAACAAAAAAACATGATTTATAAGCGAGAATAATCAATAATACGTCTTTAGGATGTATTGAACAGGTTTATTAAACAATCTCTCTAGTGGAGTGTATAGCGCACACTCTAAAACACACAACTGTAAAAGTCAACAGGTTCAATCCATGGATCTATAAGCTTCAATCCCAGAGACTATAACCAGAATGATCAGTGTTCACGCCATGGGTCAAATACTGTTATAAAACTCATTTTAATGTGATAAATGTTATACTCTTATAAAACATGGGCCGCTAAATAAAATAGTATAAAACCCCATTCCATTTCTGCAGTTATTCTCATTAATTGGTTAATGAAAGCCCGCGTTCAATGTGAAATACTGAGGTTTTTGGCGCATGAGAAAAGTGGCTTCTGTGACATTCATTGATCGGAAAGTGAAAAAAGATCCTCTCCATAAATTAGCCCTTGGCCGTTCAGTGACACACAAGCATCACTTCACTTCTATTCTATTAACGTGACAATAGACTAGAACAATATGACCAGCTCAATGATGTTCAGGACGCTGCTCTTCTGCGCCGTGGCTGGAGTTGGCTGCGCGCTCGGCTGCAGGTGGATGGAGCACAAGTATCCACAATTCAGAGACAGCTCTCTGGGTCTGCTCAAGGCGATGGTGAGTCCTCAAAACTGCATTACTTTGTTCTGGAAGTGTGTGCGGGAAGGGGATTGTGTGCAGTGTTTGAACAACTTAGATTTAGGCTTAGACAGACTTTATCGATCCACAAGGGAAATGTCGTTGTCACAGTCGCTCGCATAGTATTTCACAATAAAGAAATAAACACAAATAGCATTAAAGTAACAATCTGAAAGTAAAAATAATATTGATATAATAACATAAGGACATAGTGACATTAGAAATTTGTAACTAGGAAAAGTATAGTGACAATTATTGATCTTAGTTTCAATCAAAGTCTTGTTGCTGCAGATTTTATTTGATTGTACGTTTGTTTTGCTCATCCAGTTCATATTTACTGATTATAAACAAAATCATGAATGCAAAATGAGTGTTTTGACCCCGAGACGTGATAGAATTTGAGAAAAAACCACTGGTGTCACTCTGACACTGTCGGTGTGAAGTATAATTATTTACTAAATGTTTTTTCCCACTTTCAGAATGCTCCCTGTTGAAGCTGTGTCAAATGTTTAAACTGACCAATAACACATGTGTTTACTTACTTAAAATGGATTTATTAGTAACTACATATTTGTCACTCTAAGCTATAAACAAGACTGAATGTTTGTTCATTCCAGGCAAACAATTCCATCACTTTTACCAATTCAACTGAAGAAGATGATTTTGAAAGCCCTGTGGACTTCCCAAACGAGCTCTATAACCTCACATCAAAAGCCGCTGTGAGTAAAAGTCAATGATACATGAATAGGGCTGTGTGAAGTACATAACAAATATCAAAACTACCACATGAAGCCATTATGAAACGTTTTCTTTCTTTATAGAGAGAGGAGAAGCTCAAATTCATGGGCCAACTTCTGGATGAGATTGTGGCTCTGTTTGAGGAGGACCAGACCTCTGCTCCGTGGCAAGAGACCGTAATGGACGATTTCCTGAACATCATCTCGCAGCAGGCAGACGGACTCCGCGCTTGTGTACGTGCTAATCTCATTCAGTTCAATACAAAAAATCACAGATCAAAGTCTCTTTGTCTCACACTTTCATGCTGCTTTGACATGTACAGATATATTACTTGCCCTAGAATATAAAAAAAATCATTCTTGCTCATTATTGTGCTAAAGTCAGGGTTTTTGTACTCAAATCTTGCTTCTTCATTATAAAGTTGGAGATTTTCAGACTTATTTCCTTATTATAAAGATAGAAATTATATATTGCTTATTTTTGTGAGAGTCAGAGATTATTTTTTTCAGTTTTTGTTCATTTATCTTGTGCTGTGTGCTCCTCATTCCTACTGTTCTGGAGCTTGTGATGCAACACTGAAATTTCCCTACTGCAAGAAGAATGAAGTATCTCTTGATTTTAATCTTTATCTGATTTTGAATATTCTTGTGTTTAGGTTTCAAGCCAAAACCTCAAAAGAAAGAGCAAGAAGTTGAGCATGTACTTCAAGAGACTGTCCACTCTGCTGGAGCAAACGGTTTGTGATTTCACTCAATATGATTAGAAAACACTATTTTTTAAAACAATTGTACTTATTTGTTCATTTGTCCCCTAAAGAGCCACAGCACTCAAGCCTGGGAATGGATTCGCACAGAAGTCAAAGTGCATCTCCAAAGAGCAGACCTGCTGGTTCCAGCTAAAACCAACTAGTTTACATTCCTTATTTATTTATGTGAAAGTCTATGTATGTGTATTTATTTATTTACAGTATAATATTTATTAAAGGAGTTGCGTCAATATTTTTATGAACTGCGATGCAATCTGTTTTAAATTTTTGTATGAAAAGCACTCTACAAATAAAGTAAAACATAAATCACAAATGTAGTCTCAGTGGCAGTTTATCAGAAAAATCAGTCGTATAATCTGGACCTTGTATCATTACCAAAGCGTTATTAAATGACTTGTCATCATAGTTTTGCGCTCCATTACCAAAGCGTTATTAAATGACTTGTCATCATAGTTTTGCGCTCCACGCAAAACTTGTTGTGCATCACTAAAATTGGTTGTGTTGTTGTGCATCACTCCTATGGGGCCTCAGCTCCCTCCAGCTGTGTGTAAACAGGGATCTCTTCATACAGGTCTCCTCCACACGCCTCGATCGCCAAACCCTGGAGTTAAACACACACCTTTCATTAATATTGGCAACAATAAACACAGATACTGACCCGATTGTACATTGAAAGAGTTAAGTAAGTGTCCAAATCATACAGAAACAAGATGTTCAAGTTTTTCACAAATATATATTACATGAATTAACCTGTGCTTGCAGGTAATGGGAATGAGCAAATTTTAATAATTTGTATGTCGTCATTGTGTGTAGCTGACGATAAAGCTAACACAACGTTATAGTCCAATCTATTTTAATCTAATCTATTGTATTTAAAGATGGGGTACCTGACTTGTAAAAAAATAAAAACATTTTAAGCCTTCCAACCGAAAGTAAACATCCATCCATCCATCCATTTTCTTCCCCTTAATCCATTTCTGGGTCGGTGGGTGGCAGCCAGAGCTGCACCCAGTACACATAGCACCAGTCCCTCACTGATCCTCCTGCAGGAGGTGAGTCCGCAGGAGCCTTGATCTTTCAGCGGGGGCTTCAGGCAAAGTGGGGTCAAGTGTCTTGCCCAAGGACACAACGACCGCAATCATCAGTGGGAGTCGTGAAGTAGGTCTTGTGGTGGGCTCGAACCCACGACCTTCAATGACAGTCCTTTCATGTGACAAAGGCCAAAACTACATGCTTTTATAAACTAGTGAAAGAACCAACCGTTTTGAGAGCAGTTTGATTTTGGTTCAAAAGTTAGGTCCCACCATCACCAAGAACAAATGTGACTCATCTGCAAACCCGCTATATGTTTAGTTTCATATCCCATGCTCTCTTTCATGTACACATTTTTTGTTTTAGGATCCAAGTTTGTTTCAATTACAAGCAACTTTCACCCATGATGAAAATGAAACCAAACAATACCTCATGAATATGGTCCATGTCTGGCTCTTCATAGATATGCTCCTCCTTGTGAGCCTGAAAATGCAAGGCAAAAATGCATTAAAGGTGACCATATACGCACACATGTGAGAGGGTATAACATTATCACCAGTGTCCGTGTGGGAAACCCAAAGGCCGTGATGAACACAGCCAACAGCAGAGCTTGAAACATGAGAAAGTCCTTCATCCGGCTCCTGTAAAGCAGCTTGTCCAGATTCACCGGTCCTGGACAGTCTATCCAACGTTATAACATGCATAGTGGTATTGATGCCATGCTTATGATAAGAGCAACACAAGTGAAAAATATGTAAACATTGAGCTCCTTATTTAAAAGGTATCCTATATAGGGGGATTTTCTTCTTCCGCGTAGACCATCAAGACTCCTTATTGTCAATCATTCTTTCTGGTAATACATGGTCATCAAATAAGACCATATAGTTTTGTTCAAAAAGTGGAGAGGGCTGTTGTTTCCTAAAATTTGGGGGAAATCCTCATATAGATCTTTAAGTCTATGCAAGTTGCTAACATTCAAGTTACAGCTACATGGACAACAGCCCATGGATCTATTATAATAGATCCATGGGTTGTATACTCACCTACTCACAAGATGGCGCCAGTGTGTGCGGCCTGTCCTCTGTCTCTGCGTAATGTGCTTGTATTTTTGCTGTTTTTAATCAATTGTCACAGTAAATGTCACATCCCTGCTGACGTATGATCGCCAAACACTTTTGGATTTCCAACCATGTGTTGACAACTTCCTCACATTTGATAATTACGCATTTTCCCCACCTTTCCTCGCTGGAATACCGGCTTACCTTTCGCCGTGCGCCAGATCTACCCAGGCGCCACGGGCGCCGTGGTAATGCGGAGCGAAACTGGTGAAGCTGAAGGCCCTAGTGGCACGTTCCTCTGTGACATCCCAGGAGATACAACGGGAATATCGTCGCTTCATCCCCTGGCGCACCCTGGATGCGACACGGCCCTGTTTGGTTCCTGTGGTTGGCTTCGATGGCAGTGTTCCTGAGCGCTGTGTCCCGGCTTCGCTTCCCCGCACGCGCAGTGTGTGTCTGCCCAATCTTTGTCTGCCACCCCGGGCCCGGACTACGCCCACGGCAAATGCACCCGCTCTTGCTCCAGCAAATTTTGCTCTGGTGAACGCAAGATCGCTGGCGAATAAAACTTTCATCATAAGGGACTTTTTTGAATCAAGAGGATTGGATTTCATGTGCGTGACTGAAACTTGCGCAACTGTGGGTGAGTCGAGCGCTTTCTGTGAACTGCTACCACCTGACTGTTTGTTTCTTAACTCCCCGAGGATATCAGGACGGGGCAGAGGTCTAGCTACAGTTTTTATAAGTAGCATTATGTGCAAACAGCTTGTTCCTTCTGTGTCATTTCCCAGCTTTGAGATGCTTCTGTTTGAACTTAGCTCTGCACCACCATTGCTGTGTGCGGTGATATATAGACCCCCGAAATACAACAAAAACTTTCTTAATGACTTTTCGCAGTTACTGTCTGAATATGTGCCTGTGTATGACCGTATCCTTCTTGTTGGGGACTTTAACATGTGTGCTGCCCTGAAAAGCCACTGGCAAGACACTTCTTGAGTTTGATTGAATGTTTTGATTTTGTACAGTGTGTAAGTGGCTCCACACATGATCGCGGACACACGCTTGATCTCGTCCTAGCCCATGGGCTCTCTCCATCTGAGAGGCAGTGGATGAAAGACACACTTCAAGTATCTTTTCAGATAATGCCAATTAGTTGGCGCTATTACCAAAACATCGTTAGAGCAGCTAAAACAAGTCATTTTTCTGATATTATTGTTTTTAATGCTCACAATCCAAGAGTTCTTTTTGAGACTGTTAAAAAGGCTCTCAATACCCCAAAACGGCACTGTCCTGAAAACGCTTCAAATCTGTGTGAGAATTTCTTACGTCTTTTCATTGATAAAGTTGCCAGTACTAGGGCCTTGATCTCCCATCCTAATTATGATCCTGGCACTCCTACAACGTGCTCTGTTGTTTTTGACCAATTTGAGCCAGTTACTTTGCCTTTACTTGTAAAAATAATGGATCAAATTAAACTTACAGGCTCTCCTAATGATATGATCCCCCCTCGTCTTTTTAAAGAACTGTTTCCTTTATTGGAACCTCATGTTCTGTCCATTCTTAATGGAAGCCTGGCCAGTGGAGTTGTTCCCTCTTGCTTTAAACATGCAATAGTGCAGCCCTTGCCAAAGAAATCAAACTTGGATATTCATGAGCTAAGCAACTATCGACCCATTTCTAAGCTCCCTCTGATGTCAAAAATGCTTGAGAAAATAGTGTTTATGGAACTCACAGATTTTTTAAACAGTAATGGTATCTTTGAGACCTTCCAGTCAGGTTTTAAAGCTGGCCACAGCACAGAGACGGCCCTTTCAAAGGTTTTTAATTATATTTTCCTGGCTACAGACGCTGGGCACGCTGTTGCTCTTCTTCTGTTGGATCTGACTGCAGCATTTGATACGGTGGACCACCACATACTGCTGTCCCGCTTGGAGAACTATGTCGGCATCAGAGGTTTAGCCTTGTCCTCGTTCAGGTCATATTTGACTGACCGGAGGTTTTCCGTCCAGGTTGGTGATGTTGAGTCCTCCGTGGCTTCACTTAAATGCGGGGTTCCCCAAGGGTCAGTGCTTGGACCTCTACTGTTTTCATTGTATTTGTTGCCTCTTGGAGAGATTCTTCGAAAACAAAGTGTTGTTCCATTTTTATGCGGACGACTGTCAATTGTACGTGCCACTGACTCAGTCCAAGTCATTGATTGTATGTTTGGATGAGGTCAAAACATGGATGGCTTTTAATTTTTTGCATTTTAATGTTAAGAAGACAGAGGTAGTAATTTTCTCATCCTCGGACACTGCAGCAGCTGTTCCTGCTGAACTTGCCCCCCTGGCCCCGGCTGTGAGCCCAGTGGGGACAAATCTAGGAGTGAAAACTGGGTGCTCAAATCAGCGCTGTTGTGAAGACCAGCTTTTTTCAACTGAGGCAACTTGCCAAAGTTGAATCGTTTTTTTATCTCGTCACAACTTTGAAATTTTAATCCATGCTTTTATTACCTCTCGTTTAGATTATTGCAATTCACTCTATACCGGTCTCAGTAAAACCTCACTTTCACGCCTTCAATTAGTCCAAAATGCTGCTGCCAGACTCTTAACTGGCACGCGCAAATTTGACCACATCACCCCTATTCTTTGTTCTCTTCACTGGCTCCCTGTGCACCTTCGTATTGATTTTAAGATTCTGTTATTCGTGTTCAAATGTTTGCGTGGTTTGGCCCCTCAGTATCTGACTGATCTGCTTGTGCCCCACACCCCGTCACGGGCTCTAAGATCAGCAGACCAGGCTCTTTTAGTGGTTCCTAAGACCAGAAAGAAGTCGAGAGGGGATCGGGCTTTTGCAGCAGCAGCCCCCAGACTGTGGAATGGTCTGCCTCTCCATATTAGACTGGCAGACTCACTTCCGGTTTTTAAATCGCTTCTTAAGACTCATCTTTTTACTTTGGCTTTTAACTCAGTGGGTTGACTTTCTGTGCAATTTGTATTCTTGTATATGTTTTGATATTATATTGTGTTTTTAGACTTGTGTTCAGCACTTTGGTCAACTGTGTTGTTTTTAAAGTGCTCTATAAATAAAGTTGAATTGAATAATACCAACCCAGTCAATTAAACTTCCCAACTAGGATATATTTGCAACATTGAAATAGGCACAGGTTAAAACAGGGATAAATAAAGCGTTACATAACAGGAAGATATATGACAACATCAATTAGCTTTAGCTTGTTTGCTAGCTGCAGTCTTACCGACAAACCTGGGCTATCCTGCCATCAGTATGAGGAAAACAGCTGGAGATCTGTACGAAGAATACTAGAATTCAATTGTTATAGGCTCCGACACGTTGCTTTATCGTTTCCGAAGTAATAAATCTCCTTAAGATGCAGAAAAGACCATGGGATTTGTGTTTCTTTAGGGCAGAGCGGTTGCAGAGCGATAGTCCCGGTGCTAGAGCGTAGTAGGGCGGGTGGACTCTGTGGTGCCTTTACTGCTTCAGGAAATAGGAAAACTTTTCAGTAAACATGTCATTTCAGCAAGAATTTTGCGTCAGTAAGCACATATTGATCACAAACGCAAGAAAATATGGATAAATATATCAGTACATCATACTGCTTTTTATTTTTAGTAAAAATGACGCAATGAGAACAGCAATGTATTTCTATATATCACGTAAAGTGTTTTGAAATTATAATTTTGTATACTACATTTCAAACTTGCATTAATCACAACATGTTGACCTATTTAGTATAACCCTACTGATCCTGACTGTGTCCATTTGGCTTACTATTGTATGTTTCATAATCAAAAGTTTATTTTTACTACTTTCATGAACGCATCAGAATTACGGCGCATGTTGATTGTTTTTATTACAACAATATAACCTTCTGTATTTTTGCTGGCGATGAAAAGTTTTAGTAGATTTTAATCAAAATATTACACTTTTCACTTGAGTAACAGTTTTTGTTGTGCCTTTTGGTCTCAATATAGCATTTGTGTGTAAAAATAAAAGTGTGTAGAGAATGTGCTTGGGCCAATATCTCAGGGATCAAAGTACAGGAATGTTGATGAGCAAACTGCTATTACGTAATCTGCTTTCATTTTCTTTAAGGCACACGTTTGGGACGTCCCCCGTGAGAAATCCAAAATCAATTATTTACAGCAGGTGATGAAATATCAAGAAGGTGCAATGCAAAAACAAAATATACAGTAAATACGCTATTTTCATCTGTTTTACATGCAGTTCAAATAACCCTAAACAACAGAATTATATTCAATAAGCAACAGACGCACTTCAAAATTCGGATTATTCAATATTCAAACCTGAAGAGGCATCGATTTTTAATAATTTGCTATATGAATAATCTTATTTTCTTTATTAGGCATAGTGTTTTGTAGACTGTATGTTTTTGTCATCATGCTGTTTTTTTCATCAGAATATATGGCTATACATAATAAACGTGTTCTAAATTTGCCCCTTATAAGTGATCGACATATGTCATTGTTTTTTTGGTTTGTTGGTCAGACCACTCTTGACATGTATGATGCAATTTTCACACATATGCTATACAACCTGCAGGACGTCAATGGCTGTGAATTCCCTCAGGCAGGTACTGAAAGCGAAATCAAAGGAGGCGCCAAAGATGCTATATTAACGTCTTGAGGAATTGCAATGGCCAGACAAACAATTACCAGGACAGAGCAATTACACCTGCAGATTTGTTTTTATTTTTTTACAAAGCAGCTGCCACCTAAACTGAGAAATTCAACAAAATGCTGAACAAGGTCATTTTAGTGTGCGCCCTTTTCACCGCTGCAGGCTCCTCCCTGACCTGCAGATGGATGGACAACCATTTTAAACAATACAGCGAGAGCTCATTGGATCTGCTGAAAACAATGGTAAGTTTATTATAAGCCATTGCGCAAACATTCATTCACCTAAACATGCTTATTGAGAACTGTGTGTTTTTAATCTATAGAAAAACGATTCCTTAAACTCCACTGATGTTGAATTGGATGATGCTGCGGCCTTCCCGAATGAGTTGTACAGACACGCGTCCAGAGAGTCGGTAAGTGCATGGATAATCACTTTCTACACCAGACCTGTCAAACTCAGGCCTGTGGGCAAAATCCGGCATTTTTAGTGGCCCCTGATGTATTTTCAATTATCATGATCACAGAAACTTGCAGCATGGATGGTAATGGGATACTATGGCATGTTATACTTCATTTTAAAGCTTATTTTCTCAGGAGAACAGCCATATAATTTAATATGTTCTAAGATGTGAGCTAACATGTAATCAGAAATTATAGTTATTTAATCTGTTGCGGTTTTTCCAGCCTTCCATCTCTTCTTCGTTGAAAACATGCAAACCTATAAGGAAATAATTTAAAATACAGTTAATATGTCAAAAAATAAGAAAAAAGGAAAAGAAAAAAAGAAAAAGGAAAGAGATAAAAATAAATAAAAAATTACTTTTGTGACACTTTTATACTCATGGCCCCAACCATGCAGCTCTAATGTTTTTATATTTGGCCCCCGACCACAATGAGTTTGATACATCTGTTCTACACAATCAACCCTTGAATGGCATAACTAATTCATGTTTTTGTGGTGTCTTTTAGCGGAGAGAACGACTCAGTTTCGCGGCGCACGTCTTGAATGAGATTTACGCGCTCTTTGAGGAGGACCAGACACACGCGCCTTGGAGTGCGCGCGTCGTGGAGGACTTCAGAGACATCATTGAGCAACAGGCAAATGGTGTGGGCTCATGTGTAAGTGGCTCTCCTCCAAAACATCTGCACCTTTAATGATACGTGCGCTCTGTTGACAATTTGTGTGTTTTTGTTTTGCTCAGGTTCAGATTGGAAAGCACACTCACCACAGGAAAAATCACAGAAAGATGACCATGTATTTTAAGAAACTTTCGCGACACGTCTTGGCTCATATGGTAAGGTTTTATGGTCAAACTTAATCATAAGCAAATCACCTGTTGCATGTTGGAGACTAAACTCACGTGTTCTTCTTTCCACAGAGACACAGCGCTGACGCCTGGGAGCTGGTCCGAGCAGAAGTCCGTCTGCACCTCCACAGAGTCTACCTTCTGGCTACCTCTTAAAAACACCATTACCTACCACTGCATATTTATTTAAGTTATTACATACGGGATATTTATTTAATATGGATTATTTATGTATTTATATATTTATTTTGTATGTATTTATTTATTCACTAAGACCATGTGTTTTGTACATTTTTTGATGACGGTATTTTTATTGCACTTGAAAAATAAAATGTGACATTTTGTACTGAATTTTGACACGTTTGATTTTGTGTTCAGATATACATGAATTAATATACCTGAAGGCTCAATATCCTATTGATATTGTCACCGTTTTGGGAATTATGTTTTAAGCCCATTGACTCTAAATATTAAGCCAAACATAATCAACCCTAAAACAGGGTTTGGAAATACGGAAGAGAACTGTTGTCACTCAAAAATCAAAAAAAAAAAAATTGTAAAAAAAAAATAAAAACAAATAAGAAATCTCATGATTACGAGATATGTATCTCATTATGAAATACAATCTCATAATTATGAGATCATTTTATTATTGTTATTAGGCCCGAGCCCCAACCGGGGTAAGGGCCTATTGCTTTTCCAACTCGTTGAACTGTCATAAGTCACAATCTCCGGGCGCAGCCCGGAGATTGTGACCTGCACGCGACGGCACGTGCCCAAGCACTGATAAATCCGTGCCGGAGGCACGGAATGGCTTTGTTCCTGCTGTAGTACACAGTGAAATGATTAAAGTCCTATTAAAGGGGGGTTCCCTCAACTGTCTTACGGACGAATGTCCGGGCGAAGCCCGGACATTCGTCCCCCAAGCCCGACGGCGCGTGTCCAGACACTGACAAAACAGTGCCAGAGGCACTGAATGGCTTTGCTCCTGCTGTAGTACAGTGTAATGAATGGGGTCCTATGGGGGGGGTGGGTGACCTCATGATGGCGAGGTGATGGCAATCACCGAGAACCCAATAGTTGCGTTCGTCTGGTCGTTCGCTTTAAAACGACGTATCATTTGTATTATAGGTTACTATGGAAACCTATATTGTTTTTGCTCGAAGATTTCAAAAAAAAATTCCTTGGTTTATTATTATTAGGCCCGAGCCCCAACCGGGGTAAGGGCCTATTGCTTTTCCAACGAGTAATGCCTGGGCGAAGCCCAGGCATTACTCGTTGAACTGTCATAAGTCACAATCTCCGGGCGCAGCCCGGAGATTGTGACCTGCACGCGACGGCACGTGCCCAAGCACTGATAAATCCGTGCCGGAGGCACGGAATGGCTTTGTTCCTGCTGTAGTACACAGTGAAATGATTGAAGTCCTATTAAAGGGGGGTTCCTTCAACTGTTTTACGGACGAATGTCCGGGCGAAGCCGGACATTCGTCCCCAAGCCCGACGGCGCGTGCCCAGACACTGACAAAACAGTGCCGGAGGCACTGAATGGCTTTGCTCCTGCTGTAGTACACAGTGTAATGAATGGGGTCCTATGGGGGGGGTGGGTGACCTCATGATGGCGAGGTGATTGACGAGCGCGTCAGCGCTCGTCAATCACCGAGAACCCAATAGTTGCGTTCGTCTGGTCGTTCGCTTTAAAACGACGTATCATTTGTATTATAGGTTACTATGGAAACCTATATTGTTTTTGCTCGAAGTTTTAAAAAAAAAAATTCCTTGGTTTGGTTTGGTTTATTAGGCCCGAGCCCCAACCGGGGTAAGGGCCTATTGCTTTTCCAACGAGTAATGCCTGGGCGAAGCCCAGGCATTACTCGTTGAACTGTTTTAAGTCACAATCTCCGGGCGCAGCCCGGAGATTGTGACCTGCACGCGACGGCACGTGCCCAAGCACTGATAAATCCGTGCCGGAGGCACGGAATGGCTTTGTTCCTGCTGTAGTACACAGTGAAATGATTGAAGTCCTATTAAAGGGGGGTTCCTTCAACTGTTTTACGGACGAATGTCCGGGCGAAGCCCGGACATTTGTCCCCCAAGCCCGACGGCGCGTGCCCAGACACTGTCAAAACAGTGCCGGAGGCACTGAATGGCTTTGCTCCTGCTGTAGTACACAGTGTAATGAATGGGGTCCTATGGGGGGGGTGGGTGACCTCATGATGGCGAGGTGATTGACGAGCGCGTCAGCGCTCGTCAATCACCGAGAACCCAATAGTTGCGTTCGTCTGGTCGTTCGCTTTAAAACGACGTATCATTTGTATTATAGGTTACTATGGAAACCTATATTGTTTTTGCTCGAAGATTTACAAAAAAAATTCCTTGGTTTGGTTTATTTATTATTAGGCCCGAGCCCCAACCGGGGTAAGGGCCTATTGCTTTTCCAACGAGTAATGCCTGGGCGAAGCCCAGGCATTACTCGTTGAACTGTTTTAAGTCACAATCTCCGGGCGTAGCCCGGAGATTGTGACCTGCACGCGACGGCACGTGCCCAAGCACTGATAAATCCGTGCCGGAGGCACGGAATGGCTTTGTTCCTGCTCAAGTACACAGTGAAATGATTGAAGTCCTATTAAAGGGGGGTTCCTTCAACTGTCTTACGGACGAATGTCCGGGCGAAGCCCGGACATTCGTCCCCCAAGCCCGACGGCGCGTGCCCAGACACTGACAAAACAGTGCCGGAGGCACTGAATGGCTTTGCTCCTGCTGTAGTACACAGTGTAATGAATGGGGTCCTATGGGGGGGGTGGGTGACCTCATGATGGCGAGGTGATTGACGAGCGCGTCAGCGCTCGTCAATCACCGAGAACCCAATAGTTGCGTTCGCCTCGTCGTTCGCTTTAAAACGACGTATCATTTGTATTATAGGTTACTATGGAAACCTATATTGTTTTTGCTCGAAGTTTTAAAAAAAAAAATTCCTTATTTATTATTATTTCTTTTTTCTTCTGCACTTTGAACCTTAATTTGACCCCCTGAACATTGATGAAAAGTTGTGAAATTTTGCCCAAAATTCAGAACCGGTGAAAAATTAATTTTTTTGGTGTTTATTTTTAAGGGACTAAAAAAATGTCAGAATAGCGCCCCCTACAAAAGTCAGTTTACATTGCGCCTATGGGAGGAGGTCGAAGGTCAAGTTTGTCGTAGAGCCACGAAATTCGGTACACATGTTCCTCAGGTCAAGACATGAAAAAAAAGTTATTATGGCTCCACCCCCTGACAATCAGGAAGCTCATTAATTTAATTGGAAAATGTAAAAATGAAAATTGATCTTTTTCACACATGTCGGCTGGAAATTATCTCCTCCTCGGCCGCTTCACCGATTTGTCTCAAAATCCCTCCACATGGTCTAAACCCATGTCCCATCTATTATTGAATATAGAATTTGGATCAGTTAAACGTTGTCCGAGCAGCGGAGCGGCAAAATGTGACATTTTTTTCCCAATTTTTGACGAAAATAAATTTGCTCCCATTTGCACAAAAATAGTCAGATCTGCACAAAATTTTAATCCATTGTTCAGCTCCAGGGTCTAGGTCATTTGAAAGTTGAAATTTTGAAATTGACTCACTAGCGCCCCCTACAGACTATGTCAAAGTTTTACATGGGCCTAATAAAATTTAGTTTTTTCAAAATGTTTGAAATTTTTCAGATAATTCTGTTTCGTCATCTGGATTAAAAAAGTCAATGACAACATATGATTATTTTTTACCCTGTTGCCGTGGCGACCACCAACACTCCCCTGTCTGTGTCTATGAGAAAATCGTTAAAAATCTGAAAAGTACACCTCGCTCAAACATCAAACCAGCCGCGGCCGTTTCATTAATTTGGTTGAAAATCGCTCCACATGGTCTCCACACATGGACCATCAATAGTTGCATATAGAGTTTGAATTTGTCAAACGGTCTGCGCGTGACAGACCCCCAAAGTGTGGTTATTTTCATAGAGAGGTGTGAAGGTCCCATGTTATCCAATGGAGACTGTATGGACACTCACACATTGTATGTACAAACAGGAGCACATTTACAAACTCTGATTTGCACTAAACTTGACTCTGTTGTTCAACTCCTGGGCCTAGGTCACATGACAGTGTGAACAATGACATTGGCCCATTAGTGCCCCCTACAGGCTGAGTAAAGGTTTACATGGGGATACAGGTATTTAGGTTTTATGTTGTTTGATCTCATATTTGACCTACTGAACAAACACGAAAACTCACCAAACTTTGCCACAAGTTTTTTTCAGGCATAAAGTGTATTATTTTGGTGTTCTTTGGTATAAGACTAAACAATTGAAATTGTAGGGGGCGCTGTTTTACAACATAAATGCCTTCCGTTTGCACATACAAAGTCCGATTTGCACACAATTTGAAATGACTGTTTAACTCTTGGGTTTGAGTAAACTGAAAGTGTGAATCATGAAATATCAGCATTAGCGCCCCCTACAGACTGATACAAGTGTTACATGGGGAAAATGAGGTATATCTTTTGAATAGAGAAACACAATCACTAATCATAGAAAGTAAAATTACACAGTGTCGCTCCCATCAGGGGGGTAGGAAAATGGCGCGTCAGCGCCACCTCCTTTGCGCGGTGCGGCGAGGGCCGTTAGATGCCGCTTGCGGCTTTAATTATACTTGTTTTTTGCCAGGAATACCTGGGAAAGAACAAGTTTTCTGTTGTTTGATCTCATATTTGACCCCCTGAACATGCATGAAAACTTACCAAATTTTGCCACAAGTTTTGTTTTCACATAACATGCATTATTTTGGTGTTCATTTGTATTAGACCAAAATAAAAATATTATAGGGGGCGCTGTTCTACAAAGTAAAAGCCACCGTTTGCACATACAAAGTCCGATTTACACCAAATTTTAAACGGTTGTACAACTTTTGGGTTTGGGTAAAGTAAAAGTGTAAAACATGATATTGCAGCGATAGCGCCCCCTACAGACGCTTTCAAAATTTTACAAATTTAGTTTTTTCAAAGTGTTTAAAATTTTGCATATAATTCTGTTTTGTCATCTGGATTCAAAAAGTCAATGACAACATATGATTATTTTTTACCCTGTTGCCGTGGCGACGACCAACACTCCCCTGTCTGTGTCT